CACAAACCCATCAAAAAAGTGGAGTTTCCGAGAACTTCAAAATTAATTTCTTTACTAGTTTGATCTCCAACATCTAAAGTCGCATTAAATAATGTAAGCGAGCTCCATAATGTTGTTAAGTCTCTAATTTGATTAAATGCGTGAATAATAATAATAATAATAATAATAATAATTAATGTTTCATTAATTTGAGAAAAAAACTTACTCTCTTGGAACTCTAATCACTCCAATATATTCTTCATTTTGACTGTCATCACCACTCCAATATAAAATATCAACGTGAACACCAGATCCAATGACTCCAAACACATCAGATAATGATCTGCTAATTAGTGAACGAAGTGCCAACGATGTTATAGTCGGTAATGCACCGGATGGTGGGTCAAAGTTACTATGTTGAAAAGAATAAATTATAGGATTTTTTTTTTAAAAAAAAATATAACAAAATCAAATTAAGTGTATTCACATTTTTATCTTTAGGTAATGCCATTCTGAAGTTGTAATAGTGTATTTTGTATATTTAGTGGTTGATGAAATTTTAGTAGATTGTCCATCTGTTTTGTTTGAAGTAGATTGTGAAGTCATAATTCTGTTTAATGTTTTGTTTGAGGTAGATTGTGAAGTCATAATTCTGTTTAATGTTTTGTTTGAGGTAGATTGTGAAGTCATAATTCTGTTTAACGTTGACGCATCTCTAAATGACAATTAATATTGCCAATCACATCACATGATCGTGACTTTTAATGACTCACGTGTAGAATCAGATCATTTGCAATGATACCGGTCATATTAATATGTAGCCTCTAAATAACTTTTCTGCTTCGCCACAGAGCTTGCTGGCGTTTTAATCAGTGGTGGCAAACGACAGTCATATAAAAGTTTTTATGGAAAATGAACATAAATGTCATTTTAAATTGACAAAATTGTCACTAATTAAAAAAATAAAATTTAAAGATCACTAATTTTGAATCACCCGTGTTCCTGTATCTGTTTAGGTGTTTGTGATATTATACTGATATAGTAGTTGAGGTGTTTGTGATATTATACTGATATAGTAGTTTATTTGATTGCATAAATTAGTTTTCTTTATACATATTTGTTTTATTTTAAAATGATATTTTAGTTATATTAGTTATTAACAAAGGTAGTATTTTAATAATGTTATAATGATATTCTTTGGTGATTATCGATAATTGATAGAGTCCCAAAAAGTTTGGGACAATCACTGACTTCGGGAACAATAATTTTACTACATTTAATGATAAACCTTTTATTTGCGTTAATACAGTATTTGAACCTTTAATCTATATTAATATTAGTTTATTAACACGCATATATATATGTTGTAGGTGAAAACGGAATTTAAGTGAATTCGGAATCTATATATAAAATCGCCGTTCTGAGGTTTATTTTATCATATGTACAACCTAACCCTAACCCCTAATTTAACTAGAAAATTCCAAATCCACTTAAATTCCATTCCCGCCTATAACATATATATATTAATTAAAACGTCAATAATGACAGAAAAATAGTTTTAAGATCGCACTATACATAACTGATGTTGGTAGTTATATCCATATTTACTGCATTAAAGTTTTTTTTTTCGAATTAATGTGATTCCATCAAAGCACGGTAAAAGTACTTGAGTAGTTCGTCGATCGTTAGTGACGTATTCGTTAAATGAATGTAAGTGTTTAGCTGCGGGAGGAATTTGACTGAGATCTGTTGTTTTAGTCACAAGTGATACCTGTCCTCTAAACAATACTGTTAAAAAAAGATTTTATAATTAGGAAGCCGATTTTTGCATGTTGCAAATGGGTTTGGAATTCTTAATTAAATTTATAACTTGATATATAGTAAAATTTATTTATGTAAACCTATGCTCTAAATAGTTTTCCGCAAAAAAGATCCGAACGAATTCAGTATTTTTATGGATATGAAAGTAGCATTTCA